GAGTGACCTCTTGGTTCATGGGTTGATGCTCAGCCACTGAGCCACACCAGTGGGCATGTTTTGCTATATTTAATTGGGTTGTATTACACATTCTGGATACAAGATCCTTATCTGATATGATTTGTAAATATTTTCTACCATTCTGTGATGTCTTTTCACTTTCATGATGGTGTCATTTGAAATACAATTAAAAAAAATTGATTATGTCCAATTTATTTTTCATCAGAAATATGTATTGGAAATATTCCCCCAGTTGATGGCTTCAATTTTCATTGTCCTTTTTTTAATTGGGGGGGAGGGGGCGCGAGGGAGTGTTAATCCTCACCCGAGAATATGTTTTTTCATTGGCTTTTAGAGAAAGTTGAAGGGAGGGAGGGAGGGGTTGCCTCCCAGACACTCCCTGACTAGAGGCCAGGATTAAACCTGCAACCCAGTTGAACCCAAGATCCTTTGGTGCTTGGGCAGACACTCCAACCACTGAACCACACCAGCCAGAGCACATTTTCATTTTCTTAACAGTGTCTTTTGAAGAACTGAAGATTCAACTTTTGATTAAATCTAATTAGTTTTCTTATATGATTACACTTTTTTGTTATAAAAAACTTTTGCAGCCAGTTTTAATTATTTTGCTTTATTTTAATTCTATACATATCAAAATAAGTTGAAATCTCAACTAAAAATAAAAAAAGCAACTAGAGAAAAAGTCATTATTTCTAGGGAAGGAAATCCAGATTTTCATTAACAAGAGTATATATACTGTCAGTGGAATATTTAAGTTGCTGAGGGAAAGTACTTGGAAAATTAGAATTCTTTAGTGTCTAATGACCATTAAAGTTGAGAACAAAATAAATACATTTTCAGACAAACAGGGCCTAAACATTTATTGCCCAAAGACCTTTGCTAATTACTAAGGACAGACTTAAGAAATAAGAGAACATAAATGGAGTAGGATGCAAGAATCAACAGTGAGTAAAGAAACAAGATAGTGCTCAGTCAAAATAAGTAATGCATATTATAAAATATGAATCTTCTTAAAATAACAGACCAACACACAAAAATCTTATATAACATTTTATACATTTATTCATTACTGAGGGATACATATTAAGTTTTTGACTTTTCTGGTAGTGAAACTACGTTAGAATATATCCTGATATGTTCAGGGGATTTGAGCAAGTTTTAGTCTCCCTTTTATATAACCGGACTTTCCCAACCTTACCTACTCTTTTCTCATCAGAAGTCATTCCTTTCTCTTTGGTAAGCACAAGATCTTAAAGTGTTTCCACTAAATTTCTAAAGTTTATATTATAAACTGTCATTCAATAAAAACACATCTATAAACTGGGCAAAATGCCTGCCCATACCTCCTCTTCTGATCCTGTCCTAAAGCTAATTTCTTCAGAGGAGTCTTCTAAAAATAGTGCTTCCAAGCCCCACTTCCTTCCACGCATCCCCCAATCTCTTTTCACCATAGCTATCATTAATAGATGCAGGTTTTTATTGGTCTGGTTCATGTACAGATCTTTATATTTCTGTGTGTACCTGCCAAATACCTTGCACAATGTGTTACATATCAGGCATTTTATATATAGCTATTGAATGAATGCATGAATAGCTTTATGGCTTGGATATTTAAAAATTATTTATAATTTATTTTCATATACTTAGAGTTCAAAATCAGTATAATGTTTCAGGATGTTTTCAACTGTTAAAACAACTCAATTAAAATATACTCACACTTTAAATTCATAAGCAAAATTAAAAACTATTATAAATATGAACTAGGGGCCCAGTGCGTGAATTTCTGCACCTCGAAAGGAACTGTGGGTGGCAAGGCTGCGGTGGGCACAGGGGTGGGTTTCGGCGCATCCCCGCACCCCTGCCCAGCCCCTCCTGCTGTGGCTCCAGTCCCCAGTCTGCTGGCAGCCCCGCTGCTCCCACGCGCTCATGGCGCTGTATTATATTTTTGCCCTGGCCAAGTGGCTCAGTTGGTTGGAGGGCATCCTGTATCCCAAAAAGTGTGGGTTTGATTCCTGGTCAGGGTGCATACAGGAGGCAATTGATATGTTTCTCTCTCTGTCTCTCTCAACAATGAAAACATATCCTCAAGTGAGGATTAAAAAAACTCAATGCTTTATATTTTGTCTGTATTTTATAGTACATTAAAATAGACAGTAGAATTATCTGGTAGGGAAAAGATATGTTACATATTTTCAAAAATAAAACTGACATCCCACTAACATTATGGGAAAATAACAGGTATAAATTCTGATACATTAGGAAGTTAAGTTTAAAAAAATAGGTTCAGCCTTGGCTGATGTTCTCAATGGTGAGAGCACTGTCCCATGCACTGAAGGGTATTGGTGCTCCCAGTCAGGGCACATACCCAGGTTTCAGGTTTGATCCTCAGTAGCGGCATGCGTAGCAGGCAGCCAACTGATGTTTCTCTCTCTTACATCTATGTTTCTCTTTCTCCCTTTCCCTTCCCCTCTTTCTAGAATCAATGAAAAAATACTAAACATATCCTTGGGTGAGGATAGAAAAACAAAATAACTAAATTCTCATTAAAACAACTTCAAATTTCTTTAAATGTACCATTGGCAGAAAAATGAACTGTCAGCCAATATACGATAAATATATTGTTGCTTACATTTCCAAATATTGAAAATGATGGGTGGAAATATTAGAACAGAAATCTTGTCTGAAGAGATATAATTAAGATTCTATTTCAGTTATTGATTGGCTCTGGTAGAGAAAAGTCTGAACTATCCATTCAAAATAGAATGACTTTTTTCCCCATTTCACACATAGCTGTCTAATCTTTCTTGAGAAATTAGGCTGTACTAAAAAATTATTAGCTGTTGCCAAAATCAGTTTGGCTCAGTGGATAGAGCATCGGTCTGCAGACTGAAAGGTCCCGGGTTCGATTCTGGTTGCGGGCACATCCCCAGTAGGGGGTATGCAAGAGGCAGGTGATAGATGATTTTCTCTCATCGATGTTTCTAACTCTCTATCCCTCTCTCTTCCTCTCTGTAAAAAAGCAATAAAATATATTTTAAAAAAATTATTAGCTGTTACTTGTGATTCAAATTCTAGCATGGGTTATCCCTAAGTGAATATCTACTAGTGTACTGGCACAAGTGGTCTTCAGAATTTACACTATGTGGACGTATTTTATAAGACACCTTGGTCCTTCTGGTGACTACAGTTTCTTGGATGGGAATTCAAGATAGACTTATCACAAAACAAACTCCCTAGTTACAGTATATTGTGCTAAAGTAAGGCTCCAGTGTATTTTGGAAATGTAATGATAAGCTGCAATGTTTTTGGTTTTTTTTCATGTTTACTGAAAAAAAAAAATTAGATGAATTCTTTCTGTCTTGGTCCCTGGATACTCATCTCCCCAGAAAATATATCTGTTGTAGACACTATTGATAACTTAGCTTTCAGCTTTAAGCAATTATTTGGTAGTACCACTTCTTTTATGGCTTTTTAAACATTAAGTTCTTAAATATTTGAAAAGTATTCACTATTTTCTGATAGTTCACACACACAAAAAGATGTGAACATCAGCTTGAAAAATTATATAGTCTTAAAAAATCAACTTTTTCTTTAAAAAGTTTATTCAGCCTGGCTGGTGTGGCTCAGTGGTTGAGCATTAACCTATGAGCCAGGAGGTCACAGTTTGATTCACAGTAAGGGCACATGCTGGGATTTTGGGCTTAATCAGTAGGGGGCACGTGCAAGGGGCAGCCTATCAATGATTCTCTCTCATCATTGATATTTCTCTCTCTCTCCCTCTTCCTTCCTCTCTGAAATCAAAATAGATTTTTAAAAAAAAGTTATTTAATAACTAATTAAAGATAGAGAAATGAAACAAACACTCATTTAAATATTTCAAACATGATCCCTTTCACAAAATGAATCTATAATCTTCTTTGTCAGGAGTGGGGGGGAAAGAACACAAAAAGGCTCCTCTTAAGTTTGGATACATTAACAGCATACATTTTTTCCCATTTTCAAAATAACCCTTCAAACAATCCATTATTTGTAAGATGAGGGTTAAAAGAAAACAATAAATGTGATATTAAAATTTCCTCTTAAAGTATCTTGAACAACTTGTATATAGGCTTAAATTAAGACGAGCATTTGTTTAAAGACTTACATTATATGAAAAATGTATGTTTCCAAATAAAAAAGTTAATTATATACATTTAATAACATTACACACAATTAATATAAAGGCTGTATAAGGCTTTAGGAAGCTCAAAGTCTAAGTAAGTTTTATCAGGTAAATCAATCGATTTAACAATACAATTCTGATGATCAAATTATCTAACCACTAAACTCAAAACCTTATTTATGATAAGAGTCTAGTGTATTTACTTTGAATATGGAACCATAGTTTTTTTCCCTACATTGAAAAAAGTTGGGCAAATTAGTTTTATATAATATATTAGTTTATATATATGTTTATATATATGTTTATATTTATAAATCATATATTAAAATGCATGGTTTAAAAGTATTAATTGAGAGAAAAGAGATTTTTAAAGAACTTCCCAGTTTATAGAATTAAGGAGATATATAGTATATATCATAGGTCAAAGATTATTTATTTGCTATTTTCTGGCTCTTTAATGAGGAATTATATTAAATGATCTAAAGTCTCTTTTAGCGCTAAAGTTCTGATTATATTGTTTTGCTTTTAAATAAGTAAGGCTTTTTATACCTCTTTCCTTGCTTTTAGTCCCTCATAGTCAGTTTTTAGTGGGGAACAAATATCATAGTTAGCAATTTACTCTTAATCCCTGAGCCCCCTCCTCTTTCCAGAGCCCACAGTCCCCAGCACATGGCAATTGCTCAATATTTATTGGGTATTCTTGAATGAATAGCAAAATATTAAGGGTAAATCAAGAATTAAAAAGAATCTGAAGGTAATAAGTAGCTTTTATAAAACTTCCAAACAATTATTTCAAAGTTTCTATTCTCATTTTTCTTTTTTCTTTTTTTTAAGTTGAATTTATTGGGGGTGATTCTAGTCTCCTTTTTAGATTTACTTTGGTTTGTCTTTGTAAATAACAGCAAGAGAAAATATGGCACAGGAATACAAGGTTTTAAGTCATTATAGGTAAACTACCAGCAAGGTTATTAAGTAAACTTAATAAAAAATTGTTTCTATCCATGTACTGAAGACATGAATTTTATTTACACTACTACTAGATCCCAGCTACTCCAGTTACTCTGAGATATAATAATCTTATCAACAGGAAAAATATCTTCCAGTATTTCAGCAGTTTTAACAATTGTAACCAAATTGCTTAGTTATACTATAGAGTAAGAAGCAATTAATGAGTTTTTTTGAAATAAAAAATATGTACCTACTACTATACATTATCCTGATGCGTAGGCCAAAATATACCTAACAACAAACATTCTTAATTTCTATTAGTCATAAAAATAAAGGCAAAATATATTGCAAATATTTTCTTTGTAGATGATTTGAATTAGAAAACAATAGTTTAATGAAAACAATACAGAGGTTCATGTGAGTTAAGTGATAGGAGGCAAGAGAAGTATTCAAAACTTGACAGGTAACATGTCAAATATTACTAAAGAATATTTGCCTCAATGACACCACAGTAAATAGATTTTTACATATCTCAATTTTATCTTATAGTCAAAGAAAATACAAGTCAGTAAGTTATGATCCTAAGTCATAGTTAAGGACCCCTTCTTTTAGCTTGTAAGATGTAGCCTTTTGATTTGATAATTCCTCTACTTTTTACAATGACTGAATATCGCAGTAGCCACAGTGGCACCCACTCATGTGCTTGAATGTCAGGGATGCTTTCCCGAAGAGCTTCTTGAAAACTTGTTTCAGAAAGCAGTTCTTAAAACAAACAAACAACAACAAATAAAAACCAGAGTTAAATTTGAAAACAAAAGCACCTACTATGTAGGTAAGCATCTATATATACAAAAGCCTAAGCGATCATTAGGATTGAACCATCTGAAAGAATGAGACGACCAGTAGATTAGTTGCTATGATGCACACTGATTACCAGGGGCAGGTGTTCAATGTAGGAATGATGGTCAGTGCACTCCAACAGCAGGAGCACTGCTCAGCTGACTGACCCTTCCCAATGTCCCGTCAGCCTGGGGGCAGCCACGCTCTCCCTCAGTAGTCCTGTAGGTCCAATTTCTGGAGAACGGGCCAGGCACCGCTGGCACAATCCTGACAGTGCTGCCTCCGGCCTCCTGGAAGTCAGCCTCGGGCACCGTGAGGCCTCCCTGACCAATAATCCCTAACCTGAGCACACTTCTCCCTTAGCCAAATTTTCTCTATCACCATTTATCATTTACGTTATTGTTTGTCTCTGCCCATTAGAAAATCAATTTGGTGAGAGCTGGAATTTGTCTGACTTGGTTGTATATCTCTAGTACTTAGAAACAATGCCTGGAACAGAGTAGGTGTCTGCTGAATCAATCAATCAATATGAAAAGATTCCACTGGGTCAGAAACAACCATACAGTTAAATATTATTTATATCATAGAGGCCTGGTGCATAAACTTCATGCACAGAGGGGGAGTACCCTCAGCCCAGCCTGCACCCACTCCAATTGGACACCCCTCTCACAATCTGGGACCACTTGCTCCTAACCACTCACCTGCCTGCCTGCCTGCCTAATTGTCCCAGCCCCTCTGCCTGCTTGCCTGATCACCCCCATCTCTTTCTGCCTGCCTGCTTGCCTGATCTTGCCCCCGACTGCCTGTGCCTGCCTGATCGCCCCTAACTGTCCTGCCTTGTCAGTCTGATCTCACCTCCAACTGCCCTCCTCTGCTGACCAATTTGGTTCTGACTGGTCAGTTTCTATGCCAGTCAGCATCAAAAGCTCTGCCTCCTAGGTAGCCATTGGCTCCTCACAGTTGACCCAGATTTGGTTCTGGCTGGTCAGTTTCTGTGCCAGTTAGCATTAAAAGCTCTGCCTCCTAGACAGCCATTGGTTCCTTATAGTCACCCTGATTTGGTTCTGATTGGTCAGTTTCTATGCCGGTCAGTGTCGCTGGACCTATCAATGGGGCCTGATCAGAAAGGTGGAGCTCATCAGCAGCCCCTGTGGAGACCTGGAGAGAACTGAAGGTGGGGCTGTTGGCCAGGCTGGGAGAGAAAAAGAGGCAAGTTCTCATCAATGGCTGCCACAGAGGTTATGGATCAGACCCTGCCTCTCTCTCTGCAGGCCTCTTTCCAGGCCTGATCCACAGCCCCCTAGGCAACCCAGCACTGACTTCTGGTCTGGTCAAGCCTTCAGTCGTAACAGTCATTATGACCCTGGCTCTTTATTATATAGATGATTTGGAAGCACTAGAGGACCAGTTTGCTCCAATGAACTGTTGTGATATTTGAATAGCACCAATAGTAAATCCCCAGTAAATCTATTATTCACCAGGCACTTTTCTAAGTATTTTAAATGTATTAACTCATTGAATCCACACACTAACCCTAAGAGATAGGTAATATCCCCCTTTACAAGGGGACACTAAAACAGACAAGTTAGATAACCTGCCCAAGATCACACAGCTAGTAAACATCTAGTTTTCCTATGTAGAAAGCAAATGTCTCATTAGGAAAAGTAACATTAACATGAATTTGTTTATCAGACAGTCTAAAGGAGAAGAGACTATCTTGAGGGAAGAAGGATAAAAATTGAGACAATGCTCCAATCAACTGAGCCACTTGACCAGGGTTTAACTACATACTTTTGATTCAACTATGTTAACTCCTTAGAATAAGTAAACATGACAAATCTTTTAAGAGAAGAATTGCTTCGTTCATAGATCAAAGTGTATGAAGATTCGTTACTGGCATATGCAGGATCAGTCTATATATTCTAATCAAAGGGTTTAGAATTAAAATTAAAAAGACATCCAGTGTGGGGGCGAGCTAGAAAGGGTCAATGGGGGGAAAAAGGGACATATGTAGTACTTTCAACAGTAAAGATTAAAAAAATAAGACATCCAACTGTCAAATTATATTAGTAAAACAAAGACATAAAAAAAAAGGATTACATTTCTCTTCTGCGATACATATGCACTATATTTTTCCTAACTATTATGTATTAGCACATAATCCACATGCCAACATTTAAATAACATGGAAACAAAATACTAGACACCTTAGTCTTTTCCTATTTCCTTTTCTACTAGAAAAAGGATAGAGTTTTTTCCAAGTGGAACTAATCAGGGTACAGGCTCATCTATGAGCTGCTGGTAACAACTGCTATTGGTAATAATTACTGTTGAAAGAGCTCCCAACCCAAAGTAAAAATGTAAGTTGATATAATATTACCAACCTATGGAAAGTTAAAATTTTAATGGTTTATATTATAGAATGAGTCAGCAGTAGCAATTCTTTGTTAGATTTTCACTAAAACGACTTTTAAAAAAGTGAATCTGTGCACTATGTTGTTCTGGCTGATTTGAAATGTTACAGATCAGAGAGACAGTATGACATAGTGAGGAAAGGCTCTAAATTCAGCTAGGACCTAGGTCAAGTTCAAACTTTACCCTGGCCAGTGGAGTGACCTTGGCTAGTTTCTTAACCTCCGAGGCTTCCATTCTCATCAATAGAATGCCTAGTTTCAGTTGTTATGAAGATTACAGATACTCTCTCTGAGGCATTTAGCAGGATGCCCGGCATCTGAGGAACAAAACTATTAAAACTCCTTCTCCTTGCCCAGCTCAGTGGTTGAGCATCAATCTGTGAGCCAGAATATCATGATTGGATTCCCGGCCGGGGCACATGCCTGTATTGCAGGCCCCATCCCCAGTGTGGGGCATGAGGGAGGCAGTTGATCAATGATTCTCTCTCTCTCTCTCATTCTCTCTCCCTTCTTCTCTGAAATAAATAAAAATATGTTTAACAAAAAATAAAAGAAAAGCTCTTTCTCTGCTTCCCCCAGAATGTAAAAAATGAGACAGAGGGCTAACAAAAGTATAAAGTCTTAAGAGGTTATCCATAAGCATCCTAAAAATTAACTGAATCAAAACACTAATATAATGCCATCTTTTTAGACATGGAAATAAAAACCCATTGTTTTTTCTCCAAGGATGATAATCTATAAAGTGTAATTACCTCCAATATGGATATTTAAAATTCACAAGACAGTTGTCACTTAAAACTGCACCAAAAAATGCCCTGGCTGGTTTGCTCAACAGTTAGAGCATTGCCCTCAGACTGAAGGGTTATGGATTCAATTCCCAGTCAAGGGCATGTATCTCAGTTGCAGGTTTCCCAACCTCAGTAGCAAGAGCCAACCAGATTTTTTTTCTCTCTCTCTCTCTTCCTCCCTCACTTCCACTCTCTCTAGAAAGCAATGGGGAAGAAAATATCCTTGGTGAGGATTAAAAAACAAAAAGAAACCCCAAAACTACACCAAAAATACTATTTCATACAGCCTGTAGATTTACTGAGTAAAATGCCACCTCCTTTCCCTACAAAACAGTAATAAAATGAGAATAGAACAGAATAAACAACAGTATCAAGTGTAAAATATTCTCTCCCCAGCTTCTATAGTTCTCATATAAAAGTTGACAAAAAAATTATTCTACAGAAGGCAGACAAGCCATTCTCATTAATCAAATAATATTTCTATTAGAACCAAATATATATGTCTTAATAAAATACCTATTCAATCACCAATCCTAAAATGCTTACATTTCAAATTAAATTGTCTGCCTCTTTTTCCAGATATTTATCCTCTTTAATTAAGTGCCTCTTTGGTACAATCTTTGTTGTACTTGGTAAAATTATATATGATACTATTTAGAATAACTTAAAAGATCTTTTCTGTGTAGCTTAATACTTATAAATCTAAATAGGCCAATATTCAGGAAACAATCCCTTCACGTTTTCCCCCATTGGTACAAAGACAAAACTAAAGCTCTCTGAAACAAAAATAAAAGGCATATATGGTCTTGAAATAGCCATTACCAATAGTTCTGGAAATAGCATTGTGCCCCTCTCACTGTACACAATTAGAAATTCAATTTTAACAAGTAGTTTCTTGTAAGATAAAAGCTCATGATCAAAGTCTACAAATGAAAATCTGGGAGAAATGGGGGAGATAAGAGATCAACCGAAGGACTTGTATGCATGCATGTAAGCATAACCAATGGATGCAAAACTCTGGGGGGGGTGGGGGGGGGCGGTGAGGGCAAAACTCTGGGGGGCAATGGTAAGATATGTATACATATAATACCTTAATAAAAAAACAAGAAGAAAAAAAAAAGAAAATCTGTCTCACCTTTTGGGTCATTATGAGTCAATAGCTGTATGTCAAATTGTTTAGCAAATGCAGTCAAATCAGGTGGCATCACACAGCAGGAGGCAAGATTAACTTGGTTACTATTTGGTTTGACCTAGAAATGAAAAAATAAATAAATAAATCATGATATCTCCACTAAATTAAGTACTACTGAAAGTAGATGATGATACAAAGACTCAATTTGGAAATTATGAAATATCACATTCTATAGCACTTAAAAGTTTATAAATTACTTTTACATCAATGTATTTATTAATGTATGTTTTCTAACTCATGTTAGCAGTAACAGGGAAAGGAAAAATAGCTCTAGGTGGGGGGAAAGCCAATATAGTACTACAATATTAAAATGTCTCCTGCTAGAACCTGCAATCTAATACATCTGCCTCAGAAACAGACTTGATGGTTCCAACTACAGAGGGAATATGTCTTAAAGGTAGAGGATCAAACACAAATGACAAGTACATTTAATGTTAAAGTATAAAATGGTTATTAATCAGAGACATTTTGAAAAGAGAATATTAGATCATTTCTAATAGCTCCTCTGGTTAATTTATAGATACATTCTGGATCACCCAAGGCTCTCTAGCAGGGCCTCAGACACATTCCAGCTACCACCACGTCAAAGGAAGAAGAGGCAACACTTTCTCTAGGGTCTTCTTGTCAACAAGAAACTGAAAACTCTGAAAAGGATAAGCTTGGGATGAAGTAAAAGGAATAGAGATACAGAGAGTAAAGGTAAAATACCAGTAAGCAACTTCACTAATAGCTTGTATGTTATTAGGCCAAATAGTGGGGAGAGGGGGGAGGAGGAACATGGGGGGATTAATTTGTGACTCCATTATCAAGTGTATAAACTAAGCCTCATGTAACTTTAAACAATAGTCAGCAAAATATTTGTTATATATAATAGCCCCTTACTTTTAGGAAATCAGAACCATGGTTTAATAATAGCTCATTAAAAATGTAATATTTTAATCACATAATTAAACAAAAAAACTGACTTAATTCATTTGGCTATGAACGCTTCAATACCCACTTTCTAGTGTTTTTGTCACTCATTTTAAATGAGACTAATATTAAGTTCAATTAGACATATAGGGTGTCCCAAAAATGTATACACACTTCCATTTCAATTTTGAAACTGAAATGTATTTTAATAAACACTGTGTATGCATTTTTTGACACACCCTATATATTTGAGGGGGGAAAAAAATCCAATTCTGTATATAAAATCAGTCTCAAAACTTCCACATTTGGAATAGGTACTCCACAGTGAGTGTCCACTATATGCACGATACACAACAGAATACAAGAAAGACTGTAAGGGAAACCCCCCTCCCCGTAACCCCTCCCCTCCAGTGCTCGTGATCTAGCTGTCCTTTACCTTGGCCCACTGATACAGCTGTTCTAACTGTGTTTTGTCCAGATCAGAGGTACCTATGGCAACAATTTTTTTATTCTGAACTAAGTTTTGTAATTCCTCCCAGTAAGGCTGCAAATGCTCCAAGGAAAGATTAACTCCATCTTCAGTAGGAGGTGAAGCAATGATCACAGAATCCAGCTGTGCAACTCCAAGGACTGAACAGGCTGATGTGAAGGAAAACGCAGAGGATAAATGTTAGTTACATAATAAAACAGGTATTTCTAATGCTTCAAACATCCCACTGAATTCTGTCCATATATTCACTATTTTTCTATATACGAGATTGCTCCGATTCACAATTTATCTGTTCCTTAGAATATTTCCATTTTCTAGCCGAAACCGGTTTAGCTCAGTGGACAGAACGTCGGTCTGCAGACTGAAAGGTCCCAGGTTCGATTCCGGTCAAGGGCATGTACGTTGGTTGTGGGCACATCCTCAGTAGGGGGTGTGCAGGAGGCAGCTGGTCGATGATTCTCTTTTATCGACGTTTCTCGCTTTCTATCCCTCTTCCTTCCTCTCTGTGAAAAATCAATAAAATATAATTTAAAAGAGAGAGAGAATATTTCCACTTTCTAAAAAAAATTAAGTGTATAGTCCTGGCCAGGTGGCTCAGTTCGTTGGAGCATTGCCCCATACACCAAAAAGTTTTGAGTTCGATTCCCGGACAAAGAATATACCTAGGTTGCAGAGTTAATCCCCTGTCGGGACTCAAATGGGAGGCAACCGATTGGTGTTTCTCTCACTCAAAATCAATAAAAACATATCCTCAGGTGAGGATTAAAAAAGGAAAGTGTAAGTGTTCATTCACCTACTTGGTCTATGTAGCAGGTAAGTGAATTTGTTTCTTTCTTTTTTTAAAAATATATTTTATTGATTTTTTATAGAGAGGAAGGGAGAGGGATAGAGCGCTAGAAACGTCGATGAGAGAGAAACATCGACCAGTTGACTCTTGCACACCCCCTACCGGGGATGTGCCTGCAACCAAGGTACGTTCATGCCCTTGACTGGAATCGAACCCGGGACTTTTCAGTCCGCATACCGATGCTCTACCACTGAGCCAAACCGGTTTCGGCAGGTAAGTGGATTTCTTTGGCCTGTCTCTTCTTGGGGAACCCACCTCTCTCGGGGAGAACAAACCTTCTGGTTTCCTGGGTGCCAGATTTTTTGGTGCCTTCCTTAGCTTCATAACGTTTTCTTCTCTAGTTCTACTAATAACTCACAGATATGATCATGAGAATTCTGACCTAATATTCTGCAACTGGTGGTCATAGCAAAAAATAAATTTGAGACTGAAAAACAATGTATGGTCTTAATCTATATTTATAGAGGTAAATAGTAGTAATTTCTTAGTTTCTATAAACATCATTTGAGTTTATTTTTAATGATTATTGTGTACTCCACAGTTTTATTAAAGAGCTAATTATTTAAGTATTCAACATATGTAAATACTGGAAGAATGCTTTAAAAGAAAAAAATACTAGCAGCTACAGTCGTGTTCTCAGGCTTCCCATGTCTCTGCCAGCGCTGCCCAGGTGGCTTCCCAGAACCGCAACCCAGCGGCCACCAGCATCACTGCAGCTTGTAAAGGAGCCGAGCCCAGTGTGGGCCCTGCCCTGCCTGGGCCAAGTGAGCAAAGGCTGACCCCTATGATGTCTGGTGACAAAGGAACTTCTGCCTTCTCTGAATGTGACAACCCTTTCTAATGGGTGGGAACAGCTAGCACAGTACAGGAAGCCTTCAGGCGTAAGCTCTCCCTGGAGTTCCTCAGTGACTACCAGTAAAACGTGCCCACAGTGAAATCCCTCATCCCCACGTAGATATCCAGGGTAACATCTGCCTGGACACCAAAAGGACAAGTGGTCTGCTCTGTATTCTATCAGGACCATCCTGCTCTCCATCCAAGCCTGCTAGGAGAACCCAGCATTGATAGTCCATTGAACACGCACACTGCAGAGCTCTGGAAAACCCCGTCTTCAAGAAGTGCCTGCAAGAAACCTACACAAAGCAGGTCTCTGGCCAAGAGCCCTGACCGGGGCTGTCCAGCCTCTCTTCTTTGCTGCCTTTTTATTTTTTCCTTAGATAGTCTGTCCTTGCCTTGATTTCTGCATAGGACCCTGTATCTTTAGCTGTGGTGCTGTATTTGTTTTGTGTCTGTTTCTTAAATTAAGTCTGGTTGAGCCCCTGTGATGAATATATTTAATAAATACATGGGGGGAATGGGGGAGACACTGATTAACTGTAATAATACCACAATAACCTAAACCAAGTACTAAAATAGGTAAAAAACGTTTTGTTTGTTGTTGTTTTGATTTCATCTATAGTATTAAAAGGGCAAAGAATATGATTAAGGAGAATTTCTATTTCCAAACACATAGTTAACAGTAAAATCTTACATCTTTTATATTCCTCTTATATATCAAAATATGACCCTCCATGATTTAATATGATTTTACAGAAGCTTTAGAAAATTAGGTTAGCACTTTAAAATGTAAAATCAGCTGCCCTGGCTGGTATGGTGCAGTTGGTTGGGCATCATCCTGTGCACTGAAAAGTTGCCAATTTGATTCCAGTCAGGGCACATGCCAGGAGGGGGCGTGCAGGGCAGCTGATCTATTTTCACTTTCACATTGATGTTTCTCTCTCCCTCTTCTTTCCCCTCTCTCAAAAATTCAACTTTAAAAAAATCTTTTAAAATAAAAGGTAAAATTGAATGAGTTCATTTTCTATTTTATGTGGGTCTGAACATGGCTGGGGTATGGGTGTGGAGGGGAGTGATTAACCGGGAATCTTATATGGACATATGCATAACCCATGACACAGACAATAGAGTGGTGAAGGTCTGGAGGAGTGGGACGGGGTGGAGGGGTTCAATGGGGAAAAAACACACAAAGGGGACATCTGTAACACTTTCAACTAAAGATAAATTGTAAAAAAGATATAACTAATATAACACCTACACTAATTTAAAGTCCACTATAAAGATAAAACATTAATATTTTGCTTACCCATGTCAACTGCATTTTTAGTTGATGATGAAGAATTTGATGCTACCATGAACAGTTTTGCTGGGTAACAAAGAAAATAAAACTGATTACTACATTTGGGTAACATTGTACTATAAAGTATTAATACTGCTACCAATACTAAGATGACAGATAATTCTGAATGGATTGTTTTTTCTTTTCTAGTAACATTATTTTATAGTTTTCATTTTAAGACATAAAAGTATATTCTCACTGTACTTTTTAAATTATATGCTAGTTGCCAACAAATATGTCAAAACAAAAAAAGCAAATATTAATTACCCATTAGTTAGAAGGTAGGTCAGATAAATAGAAACTTTTTACTCAAAATGTACATTTAGTAAATTAAACATTAATGGAGCATATTATTTATGCTCTCCAATAAACTATAATATATAGAGAGACTAAAACTGCTTGTAATGAGAAGAAATCAAAAACAAACAATCCTCCTTGTGACCTCCTGGTTCATAGGTCTCAATGCTCAACCACTGAGCCACTGGTTGAGATCAACTCAACTTTACATATCTATATTTACTTGATGTAAATTCACTGTTTAAAAAAATCTAAATTCACTCAAATAGATAAATGGATTAGTAGGAAGAGAAAATCCAAAAGGAGAATGAATAGAAAACTGGCTAATAAAATGCCTGGGATTCAACATACCAGTATACCACAAATTTTCCTTATACATTTCTTTTATTTCTCCTTTCCTTTCCACTACTAGATAATCTTCCTAAAACACCGCTTTCCTCATGTTCTCTACTTAAAAGCCAGCACAGCTCCTCTACCAGGTGAGTCAATCTTCACTTAGTCCAACCTTAGCTCCCATAATCATACTCTTTGCAAACCCTCCCAACCACAGTCCCTCTGACCATTAATGTCTGACATTTGAAATGGTCTTCTCTCTCAAAGCGACATTTTTAGATGAGTAGAGAGAGGAAAGCTATTCATATGGGGAGAATTTGGGTAATGAAGCTCTCCGGGAACTAAGGACAACTTTTGTAAGAGATCCAAGATGAATCTAAACCATAATGAAGTGCAATTAACCACAGGGAAAATGTTGCTTTCACTTCCTTTTCAAGACAAACAGCAATGTGAAACTAATAGAAAGAAATGGGTTTTGGAGTCTGGATGGATTCCTGGTTCAACCACTTACTGGGTTGGCTGTATGACAACTTTCAAGTTATTTAATGTCACCTGTGCAATGAGGATGACAGACCTACCTTATAGAACTGTTTTGAGAATTATAAGAAATACAATAAAAAAGGACATGCACAATGCCTGGTACAAAGTAAGACTCAACAAATCTCATCTCATAAGTCTATCCCCCACCCCAAGAAAAAACAACCACAACACAAACTGTAGAGCAGCGTTTTTCAACCACTGTTCCGCGGCACACTTGCCTGGTGGGCCGTAGGTGCAGACAAGACAAGAATTTTATAATTTTTCACTATTTTGTTTACTTAATATTTCATAATAAAGTAATTATAAAATACTTTGTGTTTATTTGATTCCTATTTAAGAGAATTACTTTATATATAGTCAATATAGGCACAGAGTTAAATTTTTTAACATTTTCTAATGGTGGTGTGCCTCGTGATTTTTTTCATGAAACAAGTGTGCCTTTGCCCAAAAAAGGTTGAAAAACACCGCTGTAGAGAGCCGCCTGAGAAGGCACATGTACATTCTTTTAATTCTTATCAGCTGAGCCCGAGGGCACTGGCAGAATCCTGTTATCAATACTGATTTCTTAATCCAAGTGCTTGGAATGAGGAACAAATAGGACCTTGACTCATCCAGGTCTTGATATGCTAAATCTTGTACCAAAAAATAAGGAGCTTACCCAGATTTTGATGAATAGGATCTGGGCACACTCGAAACTCCCTTTGACCTTAAACTCCCCTTTGGAAGCCAATAAATATGCTGTGTTGTCTGTGGTGAGTGTGACTGTCTCTCCATCAGAAAGATGGCACCCACCTGGCTCCCAGCTTAATGAATCTATTTCTGCCTCTTGTCTCTTTCTTTCTCTGATTTCTTAATCCCCAGCTCCTCCCCTCAGGAACCTGTTGTTTTTCCGTGTGGGACACGAAAAGAAGAGAAACACCACAACAAACACAAATGGTAGTAAATAATAGCTACCTAGCACTTAACTTTATGCCAATCACTGTGGTAAATGCTTTTGTAATTTCATGTAACTTACAAATAAGCCTGTGAAACAGATGCATCCCCATTTTATAGATGAAGAAACAGAGTCAGAGAGATTAAATACTTTCGTTAACCCAAGATGATCCGAGTCAATAACCTGCACATCCAGAAATTTCAATTTAGTCAAGTTCAAGCTTTTCATTATTGTGTTATGCTGACTATACTGAGTGCAAGAACGGGCACCTTTTCATTTGTTGAGCTTCACACAGTCTCTGGCAAGTAGTCACTTGTTGAATGGGTATAATATGTATTTTATTTCTCTCCATGAAACTTGTTGCCCAGGCTTCTTTCTATACTCCCAGGCCATCCCAGCCACTGTTTGGCAGGGTCCCACCAGGAAGGGAGGGCTTATGTCTTCTTTGGGAAGACAGTGTTCTTAAGACTCCCCTTTATTCATTCCATTTCCTCTAGCTTAGTCATCCCACTGCTCTGAAGTCCAGAATGTAAGTTAATAAATGACTGTGAAGAACAGTAAGGTAAAGTTATATTGTGACTCCACTGAAGTAGCCAACAATGACCTCCTGTAACACCCTCTGAGAGCTGACATTAAAATTTCTATGTATCACACTTTGTAACCAAGTCACTCATTACCAGAAGCAAAGAAAAGCTTGTTGCCATGCCCAATAAAAACTATCACTTCTGCTGTATGACATAACGAATTGGAAAAGCTAGACTTTACCAGAAACTTTCATTTCATCTCTTTCATCGGGACTTATCTTTTCAACTGCATGAGGTACAGTACATTCCAAGACATCTGGAAACTCCTATAATAAACACATGATGTTTACAATAAATATAAAATGTTTTAGATTAGCTATATATTTTCTACTATTCATAAAGCTCTTTAGCAGCAGGGAACCCAAAAGATAGTAGGGTTCTTTACCTGAGGTCTGAATGGGCTTCATAATGTTTGGAAAGCCCTGAAATGCAGGTAAAACACTGTGTGTGTGAGTTCATTTTCTGGGGAAAAGTGTCTCATTTTGATCAGGTGCTCAGATCACAACACATACACAAATAAATGGGGGCAGAGAGCAGGAGACTGTAAAAAGTTAGAACCACTAATACCATAAGTAATTTTACTTATAAAAGAAACCAATGAAAAATACTATTATCCATTCTGAATAATGACATGCTAAAAACATTTCATTAATCACAAACATTTCAAACAAAGTAAACAGTGAGGTCTTTCTCACAAGTCATGAGCATATTACAATACCTGGTCAGTAAGTGTTTTCTAATGATGCATAAATAAGGTAAACGGTAATTTTAGAGAAACAAAGACTGATAATAGGCTTTAATCAATGCATGTCTAGCAGTTATCAAGTTGTAAAACTTGCAGTATGCCCAGGGATCAAGTATATCTAGCATAAAACTTCCTCCATTATTTTAAAGCAGTCTGTGTGTGATTTGTTATATACCTTTGGCTGATATGGATCCCAAAGAGTGGTTTAGAGACAAGTGTTCTGTATATCGTTATATACTAACATTTAATGAAATACAGCTCCTTACTGTTTCAGCAGAAAATGACATTTAAAAAATTATTTCTAGTGACTATATTATTGGGGTGATATTCTAGCAAAGCAATTTACCAATCAAAACTACTTAATAATAGTTATTGCTTTATCAAGTCAAATACAAATTGGAACAAAATACATTATGAGAAAACTCTAGTGGGAATTAAGTACAGAGAATCCTAGTATCTTGAATAGTTGAAGAGTTGACTACACAGTCTAGATTTTCTGTTTAAGCTTAAGCTTATACTGACTCAGACTGCCATCTCAGAATATCAGCCACAGGGAGTTTTATGCTAATTATCTATTTGACTTCCCTATTAAAACTAAGGAAATTGATTTCCTGCTTACTTCCCTTCCTTTTTGGACTACATGATTTCTTGGCCCACATTTTACTCACCCTGACCAAATCAGGGCTGATTTGGGAACTCCATTCATTCAAGGTCTTTTGGATGCAATCTCGAAGCTGCAAAAGGAATGCATTTTGAAACTGTTAATCAAACTCTATACACTTTTCTGTACATATATAATAAGAATGTATTGGTTTGATAAGTAGAAAAAGACGTCAATAGGAAATGTTATGCAAACCAAAATTTTAGTTCTACAAGGTTGTTTGTTCTCTATAACAAAGGTAAGTTTATATCTATTTTATCCTCCTCTTAATTCTCAAATGTTGATGATCTAAAGCAGTAATCTAATTATTTAAAAAGTATTTTTGGCCAAAACCAGTTTGGCTCAGTGGTAGAGCGTTGGTCTGCAGACTGGAGGGTCCTAGGTTCGATTCTGGTCAGGGGCATGTGCGTTGGTTGCGGGCACATCCCCGGTGGGGGGTATGCAGGAGGCAGCTTGTTGGTGTTTCTCTCTCATCAACGTTTCTAGCTCTCTATCTCTCTCCCTTCATCCCTGTAAAAAAAATCAATAAAAAAAAATATATATATAAAAAGTATTTTTGTACCAATAAAATTTTAAGTAAACTGTTAAGACGTAAAAACATACATAAAGAAACAAACAAAAAAATCAGTAACATTTATAATGGAGAAACATGGGTTCATGTCCAGGCAGCCTGACTAGAACTAATATAAACTATTGTTATAGTCCTCAAAAACAAACACACGATTCTCTAAATGTGGCCAGAGGGACTACTACCTCAGACTCACCTGTGGTGTTTATTAAAAATTCAAATTCCTAAGCCTCATAATAGACCTGTTTAACCACTCTGTAAGGCAGAACTTTTTTTAAAATATATTTTATTGATTTTTAACAGAGAGAAAGGGAGAAAGATAGAGAGCTAGAAACGTCGATGAGAGAGAAACATCGACCAGCTGCCTCTTGCACACCCCCTACCAGGGATGTGCCCACAACCAAGGTACGTGCCCTTGACCGGAATCAAACCTGGGACCTTTTAGTCCGCAGATTGACGCTCTACCACTGAGCCAAATCGGCTTCGGCTATAAGGCAGAACTTTTATTTAACAAGCATCCCTAGCAATTGATATGTCCTCTGAAGTCTGAGAACCACCACAGTCGTATCTTACAAAAGTCAATGTGCATGTCAGTCCATATGTCATTTCCTAACACTTAGACATTGTCTACAGACTGTCCAACCTGTCTTCAATGTTTTCTTTTTAAAAAAAAATATATATTTTATTGATTTTACACAGAGAGGAATTGAGAGGGACAGAGAGTTAGAAACGTCGATGAGAGAGAAACATCGACCAGCTGCCTCTTGCACACCCCCCACTGGGGATGTGCCCGAAACCAAGGTACATGCGGTTGACCAGAATTGAACCCGGGACCTTTCAGTCCGCAGGCCAATGCTCTATCCACAGAGTCAAACCGGTCCCGGCTTCAATGTTTTCTTATATAAGCAAATAAAATTTTACACTAACATTATGGTATGTTATAAATTTTTTCAAGTGTTTGTATTCTTTTATCTCTTATGTCAGTATACTTCAAACTTATTTGATAGTGGTAAAGCAAGACATAATTCACCTCTGGAGGACCTACATACATATAATAGAAAATTTGCAAAACAATATTTATGTTCACTACATGCCAAGTGCACTGTTTGTTTTTCTTAATTAGAAAAAATATGCTGTTCCATAACTCACTAAATTGACTTATGACTACTAATGGGCAACACTAGCAGTTTGAAATCACTGCCTTATAATTATCCAAGGGCACAGTGCCTTGCAGTCTATAGACAATCAATGAAAAAATAAACGTGTAACTAGCAGCAAGTCCCTGAATTGCAAAAGCACTTTCCTAATAGCAATAACAGAGACTATCTGATCTATGACTGCTTATGATAGAAACTGATATATACACTTTATTGCTTATATCTTAGTGCAGATAATTACAAGGAACAACTGGTTTATCAATTGAAGAGCTCAGTCACCTATGTTAAGATTTACAATCCACAACAATACAATAATCCACATAGATTTAGTTTACAAGGTTTATATCTTTATAGAAAGTATATTTATAATAAAATTTAAGTCTGTAGATAAAAACTAGTTGATAATTATTCCAGATAATTGCAAGTCAATATTCTTTTTAAAAAGTAGTAAAAGCTGAGGCAGCAGGACAGATTGTAATTTAACAATTCTATCAGGAGTGCTTTGGCTCAAATCAGGGGAGAATGTGATGAAATTTTCCTTTGGAAGAATGGCTCGTTTGCATACTTAAGGCTTTCCTAGTGAATTCCAATTCAGGAAGGTAAATCTATTTTCTGGGTATTCTCTCCCTTCTTGAAACCGTTTCTTAAAAAAAAAAAATAATATATTATATATATATATATAATATATATATATTTGTATATATATTTTATATATATATATATTTGAAGGGAATATATATATATATATTTTTCCCCCCCCCCTTTTTTTTCTTGATTTTGGAGACACAGGAAGGAAGAGGGATTGAGATAGAAACATCGATTAGCTGTCTCCTGCACGTCCCCTACTGGGAACCAAGCCCCCAACCCAGGCATTTGTTCTGACCAGGAATCAAAGGTTCATGGATCAGCATTCAACCACTGAGCCAAAATGGCCGGGCATTGAAACCATTTCTTTAATAAATATTGGATTCTGAAAATGTCATAGAACAGTCCAATGTATTATAATAATAGAAGAAATTCATTGACTATATCACAACCCTAGCGATTTTTAATCTTTTACATGTTATCTGTATCAACTGAACATTAACCTGGTACTGTTTGCTCTTTGCTTCTTCATTCTTACCCTTCCCCCCCTACACACACCCCTACATAGTATCACTGAAGGTAAGTATTATTATAATGTAGTATATCATTAAATCTGCAGTTGTATAAGAGTTTAAAAAATAGCATATAATTCAACTGGCCAACTACCATTACAATGAAGAATTGGGTCACCCTGACATGTTTGGCTCAGTGGATAGAGCGTCGGCCTGCGGACTGAGGGGTCCAGGTTCGATTTCGGTCAAGGGCATGCTCCTCGGTTGCGGGCACATCTCCAATATGTGTACAGTGGTCAGCAAACTCACTAGTCAACAGACCCAAATATCAGCAGTACAAATATTAAAATTTCTTTTGAGAGCCAAATCTCTTAAACTTAAACTTCTTCTAACGCCATTTCTTCTAAATACACTCACCCAGGTTGTGGTATTTTGTGGAAGAGCCACACTCAAGGGGCCAAAGAGCCACATGTGGCTCCTGAGCCAGTTTGCCAACCACGGTACTAGTGTGTGTGTGTGTGTGTGTGTGTGTGTGTGTGTGTGTGTGTGTGTGTGTGCGCATGTGTCTGTATATAACTGTATTGCAAGATAAATGCATTTCTTACTGAGTTTGCAGTAAAAGACTTTGAAAGCCACTACTCTAGAGTGTGTTGTAGTGAGATAAGAGAAAATTTCACTTAATATTATCAATATACATGTAAAATAGTATACTGAACCAGCAGCACTGGAGGAAATTAAAGGTCTAGAACTAAATATAGAAATATTTATCTTTGGGAGAAATAGTCCAACTGGGGTGGTTTGAACAAAACAAGACATGCAAACTGAGCTGGAACCTGGACACAGTATGGTACAGGATTCTGATTCCTTTTAAATTACAACCAGTGCTCTCATCTCTGGACAACACTCACTGCAAATACCAGACCTGTGCACAGGCCTGGCACATACTTGGATGGATGTCATGTGCTGCTGTAGAGTTTATCACCAATATTTTATATTAAACAGCAGAAACTACCTAGGAACACAACTGATAATGTCACATTCTGATATAGTTTAGGGCGTTTTTTTTTCTTTTAATCAAGGTTTGTTTTATTGGTGCCACATGGGTACCAGACTTATCTGTGTGATCACTTCATAAGTGACTTCATAAACGTCTAATCACTATGTGGTACACCTGGAATTAATATAATATTGTATGTCAACTGTAATAGAAAAATAAACAATTATTAAAAAATATTCATCTTGCCCCAGCCGGTTTGGCTCAGTGGATAGAGTGTCGGCTTGCAGACTCAGGATCCCAGGTTTGATTTCGGTCAAGGGCATGTACTTTGGTTGAGGGCACATCCCCTGTAGGGCGTGTGCAGGAGGGAGCTGATCAATGTTTCTCTCTCATCGATGTTTCTAACTCTCCACCCTCTCTCTCCCTTTCTCTCTGTAAAAAAAATCAAAAATATATTAAAAAATATTCATCGTCCCGATTGAACCAGAAAATAAGGGAGATAAAATGCCTGCATGGTGAGCGTTTTCACATCTAGTTTCAACCTCACAACAGCCTGCTGAAGAAGATATTAGGCAACTTTAAAGCTATCAGTCAGAGAGAGTAGCCTTCTCAAAGTAATAGAGCTCCTAAATGGAAGTTTTATTTCGTTTGTCTGTTATGGAATTGTCCCATACCACCAATATGCCTCCGCAATCATTCGTGCGGAGTCAATGATTTACTTACTGTCCGCTCTGAAATGTAAGGAGCATAGGATTCCACCTTCACCTCCGCCACTTCAAACCAGTGATCAGTCTTTGGGCAAAGAAACTGAGACTACTCTTGGGCAAGAAAAACATATACTTTGTTTCAAAGCCGAATTGGAGTGTTTAGTCAATGTGTCTCACAGCCACAGAGAAACTATTGTCCACATCCTACAGGCTAAGTGGGTTACTTACCACTCCATCTGAATTCTCAAAAGAAACGAGTCTCTGTCTAAACTATCTTTCACCGGAACGCGCCGTGGGAGGAGAGCGGGGCCGGGCGCCGCACTGGCCTCCTCTGACCCCGCGGCCAGAGTCGGGACACCAGCCCCAGGCACGCCCGGCGGAGGCATCGCTCGGGGTAAAGTTGCACCTGCCAAGTTTGTAAAGACCCGTCGCCCCCAACAGCAGCTGTGGGTCCCCAGGGGCGGGGGCCGCAGCCTCAGCCTCAGCCTCCTCCGCGGGCAGAGCCCAGGTGCGCCCCGCGCCGCCCGCCCCGGGGCCGCCCGGCCCGCGCGGCCTGCCCGGAGCCCCGCGTCTCCGCCCGCCCGGCCGCCCTCACCTCCTCGCTGTGCGTGGACGGGCACTTCTTCCGCAGGCGGCCCCAGTTCAGCAGGTTCCCCGTCTGCAGGTGCAGGGTGCGGGCCCGCGCCAGGAGCGCCCCGGCCGCGCGACTGTCGGTGCCCATGGCCGCGGCCGCCGGCGGGGAGGGAGGCCGCCCCGCAGACACGGCGCCCCGAGGCGGGAGAGCCGGGCGCGCGGTTGCCTGCCCCGCGCGGCGGGAGCTCGGCCTGCGCTCGGGCCCGGGGAGGCCGGCGGCGGCGGCGGCGGCGGCGGCGGCCCGGGAGGAAGGACGCACCGGGGCTGCAGCTCCGGCTGCTGCGGCTCCGGCTGCTGCGGCCGCCGCGGAGAGTTGGCTCCCAACTGAGGCAGCGCTTCCTGGAAGACAATGACTAAGCAGAAATCGCGGCGCGAAAGTGCTTCGTAACCGTTACCCGTCCCGCCGCGGAGCCGGGCGGGGCGGAGCGGGGTGGGGCGGGGGCGGCCAGCGCGCTGCCGGCCGCTGGCCCGCGAGACACTGGCCTTCGGACGGGGGCGGGCGTGGCGTCGGGAGGCGGGGGGCGGGGCGGGGCGGGGCGGAGCCGCTGCTCGCAGGGCGCCCCCTGCCGGTCAGAGGCCGGCTCGCAGGCCGGCGCCCATCCGCCGCGGGCCGCCGAGGGCACGGGGGGTCTCGCCGCAGCCAATGGGCGGCCGCGCTGCGATTTCCTCTCGCGCCTCTTAAAAACCCGGCGGGACGCACCGAGACTGCAAAGGCCGAAGCCTTCAGCTGTCAGAAGCCGGTGTGAGTGCACAGGCGCCTCTCCCCTTTGCTGTGCTCCCCTCTTGGCTCATCTCCTTCCTCAAGGGCTTTCCTCCAAAAGGCCCCTTTTTCATGTCGTTAATTAAAGGCCTGTTGACATAAAGCCATGGGCCGGGCAGTGTGTGAAGTCAAAGAGGGGGAGTCTTTGCCAATGAGGAGCTCACACTGTAGTTCCGGAGACAAGGCCTCTAGCATGTCCTAAGAAGAGTAATGATCGAAGGCAGCTCCCAGATGAGCTCTGATGAAAGAGAACACTTAGACCGGCGATACCGGGGAAATATTTTATCGTCCCTTTCCTCAGATAATTTATTCCTATTAAATTTCACTTATGGTAGACTTAGTATGCATCTCAGATTGAACATTTATTGAGCTCTCTTCAAGAAACTTGTACTTTTGTTGAGAGTAATCAGCTATATTAAAAGGCAAACTGCCATTAAAAAGAAAGATGAGCCCAGGCCGCGTGGCTCAGTGGCTGAGCGTCTACTGATGCACCAGGAGGTCAGGGTTCGATTCTGGTCAGGCACATGCCTGGGTTGTGGGCTCCATCCCCCAGGAGGGGGTTGTGCAGGAGGGAGGCGATCAATGATTCTCTCTCATCATTGATGTTTATTTCTCTCTTTCCCTCTCCCTTCCTCTCTGAAATCAATTAAAAAAATTATTTTTAAAAAAGTTGAATTCCAGTTGGTAAGAATGAGTGGAGGGGAGGGGAAAAGCTCCTCCGACTAGGTGTAAGTAACACTGTCTTGGTGTGCACATTTTCTAACTTAACAGCTACCACTGAATCAATTTACACTCAGACCTAAAATGCATTTCCTCCCAAAGTCACCAACACTAGGTATTTATCTGTCTTGTCAGTTTTTGCCAATCTGATGGACAGTAAGTGGTATTTCATTATTTCTTGATTATTAATAAGATTTATTGTTTTATGATATATTGCAATCATCGTCCATATAATTTTACATCTGTTTAAAATTAATATTGTACGTATGCATTTTCTCATGTTATTAGACAATATTATTTTCTAGTCTGTATAAACACAGACAAGAACATTGATAATTCTTATCATATCCTTTGGGCCTTAAAACATGTTTAATCAGGGTAGCTATCACATATCTATTGGCAGTATGTAATCCCTGAAGACAAACAAGCTCTTATCAAAGTAATTTGACATATTTTACAAAATTCACAAGCCAAGTTTTTTCTCCCTCAGTTACTGTGACAGTAGCAATTTCAGTGACACATGTTAGACAGCATTGCATGAAGCACCAGAGACTGCTGTCCAATTGAGGTGTTGGTTTGCAGTGGGACATAGACCACAGTGTCTCACAGCCATAGGAATTCCATGCGAAATTACTTAATAAGGTGCTTTGTGGTGGAAATCTTAAAATGGCACTCAATCACCAAATTCCTTCTAAGAGTGTCTTTCCTGTCTGACAGAACCTGGAAGCTAAACGCTGTAACTCTCAATCCCTTGCAGCTCTCATTCTAGTACACATTAGATTATATCAATTCCAGCTACTAGTTTTAGACTTCAAGGTAGGAATGCAATGCAGAGCATCTTCCTGGGTCTTCAGCTGTTGAGTTTTGTTGCAGCCATGCTCCAATGTCCTATCCCCAGTTTTGCGGGTGATAGGAAAAATAAGACATTTTTGGGGGGGGGGGCTAGCAAACTGAATCTGTGCTAGCAGCCTGAATGCACATTCCTGTTAGCCTATAATCTAGTCCCTGCTCCTTCCTTAATTATCTGGTCTTGCAAGACCTGTTTACCTAAGAACTCCCATTTCACAGAGGCCAGAAAGTGTGAACATTACACAACCCTCAGAGGGGGCTGTCAGCACTGGCGCCAGGCCATGCCTTTAGGTGTGGTCTCAAGGCCCCCATCCCAACACACTGGGCTTTATGCAAAGCCAGTGAAAGGTCCGGAAGTCCATCCATATCTGGGGGACAAAGAAACCAAAGGGGCAGGGGTCCTCAAACTTTTTAAAGTGGGGGCCAGATCACGGTCCCTCAGAGAGCTGGAGGGCCGGACTATATGAACTACTAATTCCTACTGTAACACCTTGGCTGCGCTCACTGCCCAAAAAACCTGGCGGGCCGGATCAGACTCCTCTGCGGGCTGCATGTGGCCCGAGGGCCGTAGTTTGAAGACGCCTGGAAGGGAGAGCTTCTCCATATTGCTTTGCTCAGGATTTGGAGAGAAACAGTCTCCCCTGAGTAACTGTACTAGTACACGTGAAACATCTGAAAATAAATGGGGTTTTCCTGTGTCTCCAGTACTCCTGCATATTTTTCATTCGTCTGGTAAATTCTGTAACACAGGTACCAGGGAGCAGTTATGGCCACTTTCTGATCCCTGGACCATAAGCTCTGAAACTCAGCAGGTTCAATGGCAGTCTCCGGATTGTCCGCCCTCCTACTGTGGCACAAGAGCAGCTCTCCTGGAGGGACATTCCGGGAGTTATTTCTGGAGGCTCAGTCCAAAGCTTGTTTTCCAAACCTTCAATTTTGTGAGCATTTAACTCCCTATATACCTTCTGCTTAAAATAGAGCGGTGGCTTTTTCCTGCAATTGAACCCTGACTAATGCCATTTCTGTTCTTATTACCACATTTGAAAGGTACTACTCTACTGAAAATGTAATGAAATTTTTTTCATCTTTGACAAACATCACTCTATAATTTTTAAATATACATGGATACAAGTGTTCACACATTTGGGCAATGTGTTAACCACAGTTTTCAATTACATACATAAAAGAGTACCCATAATTATGATACACATATTTAAAACTCACTTTTATATAAAAATATTAAGTTCTAGGAAGATTAAAAATAGGGGAAAACTCATAATTCTGATATGCATTTTTGAGAATCATAGTCATAGATAAATGATAGGTGACAGAAGCATTGTAGTAGAATTGTTGGGGAAGCAAGATCATTGCATCAGACAACTTTAGTTCAAATCCTGGCTCCAACACTTGCCAGCAGCATGCTTTTGGGTAATTTTTTATTCTTTCTAAGCTTGGGTTTTCTTATAAATTGAGGGTAATTCTAGCACTCAACTCATATAGTTATTAGTTGGTGGAAATCTTACAATAAACATATGTAAAATTCTTAGCATAGTATATGACACATATATCGATAGCTCAATAAATGTTAGCTGTCATAGGAACAGATATATACAGATATATTAAATTATTTTGCATGATTTACTCTAAAAGCACAAGACTTTTGGGACTAATAAAACTTTCTAGCAAGGAGACTATACTTATTAATTTCTAGTTTTAGCCAGTTCTGTAAATTATTCTATATAATAAAAGGCTAAGATGCAAATTGACCCAATGGTAGAAGGACTGGTCGCTATAATGTGCACTGACCACCAGGGGGCAGACGCTCAATTTGGAGCTGCCCCCTGGTGGTCAGTGCACTTCCACAGGGGGACCACCACTCAGCCAGAAGCACTGAGCCAGGCTCACGGCTGGTGAGCGCCTCTCCTGCCCCCATTGCAGTTGGACATCCCCCGAGGGATGTCCTCCTGGACTGCGAGAGGGTGCGGGCTGGGCTGAGAGACACCCTCCAAGTTTCGTGCACCGGGCCTCTAGTTTTACGTAATTTATGGTATGCTGGCTGCTTTCTTCAGAGATTCATCCAAAATCCCCGAGGAAATACTCGATGATGAAAGAAATGTATTTACAGCTTGCTAATACTTGCTATTTCGTACAAGTTGTGTTTTAAATCTGACTAGTGTTGAGCCAACTTTGGGTTTTCATGAACTTGCCAGATGTGGTTTGGGTACCCGTGGACTGTAGGAACAAGTCTAAACTTCAGTGCACAGTGGAATGTGGTAACCTTGTCTTAACTGTCCCTGGTGATGACCCCATCCCAAGATGAACACGAACTGAAGTCAGGATAGTGTGTTTGCTGTTAAATGAAGAATTACCATTAAAAAAACCAACCAACCAACCAACCAAACAAACAAAAACCCCAGAAGGGGTTGGAAACCCCTCACCCTCACTGCTGAGAAATCAGGAGCCCAGGGGCAGGGGCTCAAGTGGTAAGCAATGGACGAAACTCAGGAAAGCTGGTAACTTTCTCTCCTGTCAGAATCTCATTTGTGAAGTGAAGGAACTGAATTGGAGCATGTTATTTCCCAACGACTGACCCATTTGCCAAAAAAAGAGGACTTTTTTTGAATAACTGGCAACTGAGAAAGCAAAGGTTTGTTATCATAAAGATTGAGATTCCGAGATAAAGGAAGGAACACTATTACAATATTTAAAGATAGAATGAGAAATGTGTTCTATAGAAGCTATTGAGTGGATGGAGGAGTGAGCTGCTGGTTTTCTGCCATCACTGTGAGATATACATGCCTGGCATCCTGCTGGCTTAAAGGATGAGAAACATGAAACAGACCTGGACCCAACCTTCAGCTTGTGACAAGCCCAGCTGAGCCCAATGCCCCAAATACCTTAGTTCCTTAGTTGACCTGCATGTCATAAGTGAGAATGAAAGTTGCTTTACGCCACTAAATTCTGGGGCTGTTTATTATTAATCATTTGTGGAAATAGCAAACTGATATAACCCCCCAGCTACTTTCCTACTTCAGTGTTTTTTTCTTCCTTGCTGATTTGT